GCCATTATAGATTTAAAGAGAAATCTGTCACTAGGGAAATGTCCAGGGATCCATAAGGATGACCCCCAACTAAGAATCTAAGCAATAGCGGAGAGGCTACCTTAAATGTTCTTCCCCTTTAATGAGATTGATGACTACCTTAAATGCCACCATAGAGCCTTCATCCAGGGGATCCATAAGGATGACCCCCAACTAAGAATCTAAGCAATAGCGGAGAGGCTACCTTAAATGTTCTTCCCCTTTAATGAGATTGATGACTACCTTAAATGCCACCATAGAGCCTTCATCCAGTAGCTGATGAAAGCAGAAGCAGAGATTCACAGCCAAGCACTGAGCTCCTGGAATCCAGTTGTAGAGACAGAGGAGTGATGAGCAAAGGGGTCAAGAGCATGCTGGGGAAACCCACAGAAACATCTGACCTGAGCAAGTAGAAATTCATAAACCCCAGTCTGACAGCTGGGGAATCAGCATAGGACTGAAACAGGCCCCCTGAACATAGGTGTCAGTTGGGAGGCCTGGGCAGTGGAACCAGTATTTATCCTTTGTGCACAAATGGGCTTTGGGAGCCCACTCCCTATGGAGGGATACTCTCTCAGCCTAGATACATGGGGGAGAACCTAGGTCTTGCCCCAAATAATATGTCAGACTTTGATGATCCCTCATAGGAAGCCTCACCCTCCCTGGGGCATGGATGGAGGTTGGGATGGGAGTTTGGTGGGAGGGATGGCAGGACAGGAGGGAGAGGGAACTGGGAATGGAATGGAAAATAAGATTGTTTTTATTTAAATAAAAATTTATTTTAAAAATTTAAGTTTTAGTATGTATGTTAAATTTTAACTTATATAATTGTTTGCTTTAATAAATTACAGAATCACTAGAATCCTTAATTAAACAATGCTTTAAGAAGGTACAGTAGCTATCTCTACCTTGCTATGCAATGGAATTTTTTTTTTTTTGCTTTGTATTTTATGTGTTAAAAACTAATACACTAATCCAGTATAGCCCCATTTTCAAATTTCAAATCCATAGTTTTTTGGGGAGGATAAATTAGTTTTTCAGCATATTTTAGTTTTAAAATATGACCCCCCAATGCTTTGCCATTAGAGTTTGATACAAAGCAGAATTCAGAGGCCTTCTATGTTTTTCATGATAATCTAGACTTTTTATTTGATTCCAGGTAATTTTGGACAATAGACATGATGAACTGTTTTCTCTTGAATAAATAACAATTAAATTACATCAATGAAGTAAAATATACTGTAGGCTTAATACGTTGTTAATATTACAGAAGTGCTACTTTGCTATAGTAATTTAATGACTGAAGCTACATTTAAGAACAATCTTACCAGCACTTGTATACAAAATATTATACAGATTACCGACAAAGACATCACAGCAGTCTCAATGATGCTACCAGCTTAACAAACGTCTAACAGTACAATATTCTTTAAGAGGAAAAGGATATTCCATTTACAGATACAATAGGGAGATATGTTTTCCACTTGAAACACTGGAAGTGAGAATCAAGATAATCTGGTACCTCGGTTCATATTATTACAAGAAAAGATTTACTCTCTAGGGACTCTGATCCTCAGGACCCCTAGAGTTCAGTTAGTTTATACAAAGGATGCTTTTTAAGATACCACAGCAATCGAAAGAAACTCTGTCTGAAAAAAATCACTGATCCATAAACCACTGCTTCAACATCTGACTTGATTGTAAAACCTATGTACATACATTCAGTCCAAATCAGTAGATAGAATGTTTTGTGTATATTACAATAGGTGTGTTAACATTTTATCAGAAGGCCAATGCAAAGCAACTGTGAATGGCCACTTAGGAGATTTTAAAATATCATACAAATATACAGTTGAGAGTATGAGAAATCTAATTTTGTGCATGATATTAGTGATCTTGGATATGGATATGTAATGGCAGAAATTAATGAACTCAACAGTAACCGGAGACCTAGCTCTCATCTGGCATTTGGACCTATTTCCTGCAGAGTGGGTTTAGGCAGCAAAAATTCCTTGACATTTGAAACTAGCTAACCCTGACAGTCAGTATCAGGGAGCCTGGGATTATCTGTCACAAGTACATGTCTAAGTGTCCCAGATCCACACTTCCTTTCCATGTATATATGTTTAGTACATAGTGAAAAACTAGGGGCCCTTGGAGATAGCTTTCCTTGTTTAAATGATACTGCTAGTTCAGGACTGTCTTTATGCTGCAGGACTCAAGCAGTTGAGAATCGGCTTATGAAGATCAGAGTAATGGCAGAAGAATGCATGTTCGGAACAAATGTTGGAGGAAAGCAGATAACCCTGATGCCAGAGCATATAAGTGTTTAAATTGAAATTAATGAATCTAATTAAGAGGCTGACTAATGAATGACACTAATGAATGTAATTCTAATGACTATATCCACTGGGGCGAATGTTTTGGTCACTAGGGTTAGGAAATGATATAGGAAATGCCAAAATGGATCCAACTAATCTTAAGTATTTTTAAATGAAGGTAGCTTAATGCACAATGATGATATTTCACAGATGTTTCTTAGAGTATCAATAAGCACCAAGTTTAGTGCTATCAGCCCCATTGTCCCTTAGCTTATTATATATGAGTTAGGTCTTGAAAGTTCAATACAATATAAAATCTACCACTAAAATGGCATTTACACAAATACAGTTTTAAAAGTGAATCTTGGATTTTTTTTATATATATATATATACCTATACTCAGAATTTCCTACCAGGTCTTTGTATCTGTGAGAAGAGGTGGTACTGCCTGGTAGTTAGAGACGTGAAGCTTGATATTCAGGTTGATGCAGATAAGTCTGGCGATTGCTAGGCCCTGGTGATACTCTGTCAATACCCTTCCTTATGGAGTTACTACTCCTGTGTCCTGAGTCCTCATCTGTACACAGAGAAGGAAAGCAAGATGTTCAGCAGGCAAATACATCCCAGCTTGGTCCTCAGGCCACATCTATTTTACCACGGATTGCAAGAAGGGGCACTGCCCCTTGAGGCTGGGAACCCCAAACACTAGAAATCACAGGTAGATGCTACCTCTCTGCTTCATGCTATGCAGTCTTAAGGACTGGTAAGAATATTTACAAGGAGGAGAGACTCTAAGAGGAACTTAACAGGAGCAAGTGGCTTTTTAAAAGCAATACTTCTCCGTACTGGAAAAGGGCCCAATTCTGAGCACCATGGCAGAGGAGCCAATCAGAAGCTAGCAACCTTCATCTTTATACCTTGGCACATCCTAATAGCAGCAAGTGGAGGCACCACCTATTCATTAGCCCAAACTTACCTAAACAAGGCCAGCCATGGGGCTGTCACCAGCTTTTCACTATCCTTTGTCATACCCACTGACCTGCTCACCTTCTGTAATCAAATGGCTGGACCTGGGGCCTAGCATGCTGTGTGCAGTGCTACTTAACCTGGGGTCTGACTGCCTACATGCACCATTGAAACTCATTTCTGTTAGGGTTTTTGAAAATCTTAGGACATCTCCCTCTTATTGATTTTCATTTCCATGAAGTTTAAGGTGTGCTCACCACCCCCCCACACACACACTCGAATGTCCCTGGGAGAATCCTCTAAGTTTTTGCACCTCTTACCGATAACTCCCTGCTGAATGCTGGCCTTATGGCACACCTAAAGGTGATTAGAGTACTGAATCCAGTCGCTTAGGTGGAAAGACTTTTCTGAAAGGTTTTAGTCAGAATTTTTACAGACAAGGTTTCATGAAGATCTTGATTTTAGAAACTGAATTCATGTGCAAGAGTGCAGCAAGTGGTACAGTTCACACTTGGTCAGTTTTCTTGGGTTATGACATTGCTGTAACAGTTACAAGATAGAATATACACACACACACACAAACACACACACACACACACACATTTACAATCACATTCACATGGCACAATTTCACTGAATCAGACAATACTTCTTCTCAATTAAAAAGAAGAAGATTGTGTTTTGGCCATCCAGGCCTGAAATCTACTTAATCTGGAACATAACACTGCAATACACTTCAAGTAAACAGCAACAGCACAGTGATAACAGTGTACATTGAGATTGACACATGCTGTCTGAAGAGGTCCAGTGATAGCTAACAACTGAAGAAAGTCAGCAATGTCAGCCTTGAAAAGTCAATATACTTTCACTTTTCCATTTTGATTATAATCCTTTACCCAACTGAACAGCTGTGGTCCAGAAGATAGTCAATGTCCTCATATGGAAACTCAGGCCTAACACAGTTTTAGTGTCCATGTATTCTGCTCAATACTTTGGACAGTCTTCAAAATCTTCTTGTTGTTTTAACCAAAAAATAAGCCTTTTGTGGTTATTTCATTGTTAACTTCAGATATGGATACTGGCAGAAATACTAAGGTTTCTAAAATTGTATCATGGACAATAATACCATCTAAACAGGGATCACCCTGCTACATACCCACTCCCATATGCCATTGTTCTTAGGAAGGTCTACCTTCTGGTTGGCTAAACTAGACAAAATGGCACAGTAAACATTGATATACAACTCACAGGACATAAGACATTTTACAAAGTATCTCTACTTTAGCACTATACCTATTGTAAAAATGTACTTTTTTATACTATGGACAGACACATACCACATTATCTTGAAAGTTGTGGTTACAAAGGCATTACTCATTTCATGGTGTTTTTTCTATGGATACTTAGACTTCAGATTTTGTAGCCAAAGGTTTCCCTTCTATTTGAGAGAATTTGAAGGACCTGTGAGTAACTGAAGCAACAGGCTTTCTTCACTGTAAACCCCTGGAAAAATGGAGTTTAAGTACCTAAACTATTGAGATGTCAGCAATCTGATAAATAAGCACAGTGACAGTCACTGTTTGCTAAACATGGCAAACTTAAAAATATACATAACCAAGAGGACAACAGACTTCTAAATTTTAAGCTTGAAAAGAAAAGAATTTCTTTTTCTGTGTAGCCACGAAAGCAGCAGGCTCACAGAGCCTCGGCAGACGTGTCTGTGGACACAGACATGGTCACCTTGGCGATCTTAACCGTGCTCTTGATGCAGCTTTCCGCGGCCCTGTGCATGCTGGCTGTGTTGTTGGCGTGCTTGTGCAGGCAGTCTGAGTCCCCCATACTGTTATCTAGAGGCTGGGGGGTTCCTTCTCATGAAGGGAACATGCTGCGGAAAGCATGTCTGAGGTCCTTGCTCCTCAGAGCGTAGATGATGGGGTTCACGGTGGAGTTCAGCAGGCAGAGCATACTACAGAAGGCAAACACTGTCTTGATAAGCTTATTCATCTTTCCAAAGACATCATATACCATGATTGCAAGCAGAGGGCCCCAGCAGATGATCAACACCACCAGGATCAGGACGAGGGTTTTGGCCAGCCTAATGTCCATTCGAGCTTGGTCCGGCCGAGTCACCTGCACCTTGCCATCTTCTGATGTGTGGATTATGATGCTCTTCTGGGTTCCACGTTGAATCATGCGGACTGCATGGCTGTGAGCCTTCCAGAGAATGTACATGTATGCATACACAATGAACAGCAACAGCACGCTGGTGACTCCAATCCAGAACATCAGGTAGGTTTCATCGATGAGTGGGAAAATGTCCGAGCAAACAGATTGTAGCTTCTTGCAGTTCCAGCCAAGGAGAGGCAGCACAGCAATTACTATTGCAATAGTCCACATCAGGCAAAAGGCCACTACAGCCTTGGGCCTGGTGACGATCCTCTTATAGGCCAGAGGCCTGTGAATGGATATGTACCTGTCGATGGCTGTGAGGAACAGGCTGCCCACAGAAGCTGTGAAGGAGGCCGTGACCCCACCCAGTTTGAACAGAAACACATTGGGGCTGTCTTTACGGTGGAACACATGGAAGTCAACAAAGCTGTAGACAAAAATGACGCTCCCCAGGAGGTCAGCCACTGCCAGACTGCCAATAAAGTGGTAGGAAGGCCTGCATCGGAGACTGCGGGAATGCAGGATGACACACAGCACCAGCAGGTTCTCCAGAACTGTGAAGGTGCCCAGTGTGAGGGACAGCACGGCTATGGCCAACTGCTGACTGGGGTTCAGAATCATGAAGCACTCCATGTCCATAAAGTTCTCCCCACACTGAATGTTCTCCTCATTCTCCTTGTATGAAGAGAGGGACTTGTTGTAGAATTCTGTGATATTTGTTGTGTCTACCACTGGCACCAACTGGGAGTTGTCTCCTGCAGTCATCTTTTCCTGGAAGGGACTACCCCTGAAGGAAGTCAGAGGGAATTTTTGAGGGAAGTATCCTAATTTGGATGCCATGTCTCCTTTGATGTCTTCGTACTGAATGTCATTTGAGCCCACGTAGAGGAGGTCTGTGGTGATGGTGCGGAAGGTGGTATCTGCAAGGCCATCCAGGATCGACTTCATAACCTCAGTCTTTGATTAGGCCAGACTCACAGTGATGGAGAAAGAGATGCCAGGAGGGAAGCCTAAAAAGAGGGAAAACAGAAAAACAGAGTGGTAAGAAAGCCAGGAGGGTGAGAAACAGAGGCACTGGGCACCATAAATCAGAGACACCTCTGAACACAGAGGTTCAGTCAACACAATGAGTCAACTCAGATAAGAGTCCCCCCATCCCCCGCAAAACAAAAACACCAGGGGATGGAGAGTCACATATCAGACACATGATTCTCATTTCTTAAAGTCTTTGAGCCAAAGTCAAGTGAGTCCTGCAAGGACCTGTACAGTCAAATACACCAAGCTCAATGAAATAAGCATCACTACACATGTCATCTCTTCTACTATCAAGTATACAAAAATCTATGATGATGTGGCTGGAGACAACAAGGTCACAGAACAAAATCCCTGCCCTGTGATATACCCTAAAAGACAGGTGAGACAAAACAGGCAAGACAACCCAAAAACATGAAAGCATATAATCAAGGGTTGAGCTGCCCAGTTTAACTGTGAAGGATATTTATGACAACGAGAGATAGCTCCAGACCACAGTGGGAAGATGCTCTCCATTGGGATCAAGGCATGGCCGATAGGAAGGTATAAAAATGTCTATGCCAATCAGGCAACATCACAAATGTTTGCACAGAGGCTTATGGAATTCCGAGGTGAACATGAGGAAGATGGTGATAATGAAGGGCATTCAGGTCAGCACCCTCGGTGTGCTGACATGAAGGAGACAGCCGTGGTGGTGTCCAGGGATTCCCAAGGAGACTGTGTTAGAAATGAGGGTGACTAATACACTGCACCCTTCAGAATCTAAGTTAAGCAATTTGGATTTATTTTCAACATAAATAGCAAGAGAACTAATCTCACAATTTACAAATGTTTAGAAGATGGCTATTTATCTCTTTAGTTTATAAAAATTGTTACAAATATGGGGTGATACACGTGACGATTAAATAACCATTAATTTCAATGTTTCATGTATCAATTGCAATTTGTTGTTTCTGTGTATAACATATGAGAAAGATATTATTTTTTGAAACAAAAATTTAAGATTCTAAGTCTTTCTGCTAAAATACAGAGAGCCCAACTGTCAGGGTAGTTAATTTATTAATATACAATCTATTCAATAAATGATAGAGCACCATGGCACACCATGCACTGCACCAGACACTTAACAGATTAAGCCCACAGGACTCTGACATCTATCAGGGAAGATGGTCAGCCACCCCCACACCTACAGGCAAGGGCAGCTGCCCCTGCAGGGGACAGTGCTGTGGAGCATCAGCTCTAGACAGCAAAGGGGACTTCCTCAAGGAATACCCTACCCCCAGTATTAGGCTGAGTGTGGGAGGGGACAGGGCACAACAATGATGATTTTTTTAACTGTTACCTCAAATTTCACAATTCTTAAAAAGCAACTTGGGGTAGGCATAACGTGGTGGATGTGGCCTTCCTTCCACACTCTGCTGACTCCAAGTCCAAGCCTTAGCACTGTTTACCAGGGTCAGATCACAAGCCTCCTGTGCAGCTTTCCTGGTCCCAGCACTGATCACTGCCACACATCCACTGGAGGAATCTTCACAAACATATGGATATTATACAGCTCTCATTTCAACCTCACTATCCTAAAGACCAAACAAAACCAAGTTCCCCTTCCAGGCTCATACAGCCCAGCCGAGCTCCTGTCGCTCTGACCCTCTCAGTCTGCTCTCCCTGAATACACTCCACCTCCTTCCACCATCCATCAGCATGCTTCCTGGGTAAATTTCAGCACAAAGTCTTCCACGTTCCAACCCTCATCCTTCCAGCCCTGCCTCTCCTCAGTCAGGTCTCGCCAGTTGGGCTGTACCACATAGAGTTTAGTCACACAAACATACTTGTTCCATGCTGTGATTCTCACTGCCCCTAATTCTCCTCTGTCCAAACATTCCTCTTTCTCTCTGCTTGAGACCCCCTACCCTCACCAATTTGTTGTTCCTATTTCCCTTAGCTCACTGTTTCCCATGCTCAGCTGAAGCCCCATCTTTGGGGCTTTCTGGAGAATGAAACAGTTCTACACACATTTACCTGGTCTGCTTCTTGCTCCCAAGCTCATGAGGATCATACTGGGGACCTTATCTTAGTATTTAATCATAGCTCAAGGCACAGTGCACAGAGAGCAGCTTAAAATTGAGGCAGAAGTTGTAAGCACAAAGCCTCAGCAACACTGAATGCAGTTAATCAGCTAAGTTACACAAACTCTGGATGGTGGCCCAGGAGCAAAGGGCAGTTGCTGAAGGTATAGGCAAGAAAGATGCAGAAATGAGACCAAAGCCCAGCATCCAAGCATGGTGCCTGATGCTCCTCAATTCCTTTACTAAAAGAATATCTCTCCTGAATTCTCAGCCTCAGCCTGATTGCAAGTAACTATCAGGTATCCTCAAGTTCCCTCTTTGTATCTGTCTATCATATCCTTTCTGACATAGTTATTTCTTCACTAAAATGCCTTGTGTGTCCTATCTTATGAATCAGCTCTTGTACTTTGCAAACTTGTTTGTTGAACAACTCAATTTACATATGAAAACCTTTATCCAGATCAAAGGGACGTTGTGGAATTTCCCCATGTCTGTGCTTTGTCCCTAACCCTGGGAGGTGACTCACTGGTCTTGAAATACAGCAACATGTTGGCACACATTCCTCCTGCCCCCCCCCTTTTCTAAATGCTCACATTCAAGTCTTCTGTAGCTAGAAGGATCTCCCTAGACTGGAACCAGAGCTACTTCTGTGACAGCAGGCTTAACAAGCTCCCCTACCTGGTTCTTCTGTCATCAACCTCATGACATCATTTAAGCACAGGCTTACATATCTGCTGCCATAACCAGAATGCAGTTTCCAAACAGAATGCTGCATTTTCTAACTGCCTTTAGTTATGGGTAGCAGAGAACTGAACTCTCTGGGAAATGCTCACCTGAATCTAGTAAAATGTCAATGGAATTTCATTATCTGGCATATTTAAAATGTGATTTACTATTTATTTCCTTCACTCAAAATTAAAGAAAAGAAAGGTAGCTCAGTAGCTAATACTGAGTCTCCTAAGGCCCCACCATTCAGGCATCTTCTCTCAGGCAGCTAGTTCTTCACGCTTCCCAGGTGGAGGCTGACTTTGAAAGTTTTCAAATTATATGTGTGTTCTGTATTTAGATTTACAAGGTTCAAATTCACACAGTACAGAATGATATAATGTGATACCCCTCTCACCTGTGTCTTAGAAATGCATCTCTCAGAGCTAGAGAGGTTCTTCTTACTCTTTCTAGAGGCAGTTCATAAACAGTCAAGTGTGTGTACATGTGTGTGCATGTGTGTCTGTGCATGTATGTATACATGTGTGCATTTTTGTGCCTGTGTGCTTGTGTGTATACGTGTATGTGTGTGTGGGTGTGTGTGGGTGTGTGTTTACCAGCTCTCTACTTTTTTAAGAAAATATTTGCATGTATTGTATAGCTTTCCATTTAGATGTGCATACCAAAAGGGCCTGGTAGATGAATGTGACCAGGCCCCTATTGACAGGAGGCTTGGGGGCTTTCTTATCTTTTGTTACAGCAGATAAAGCTGCAATGAGTTAATTCCAACCACTTCATTTTTCACATTGTTTATGCTATTGTGAGTGCTTTTTCTAGTCATCGTAACTCTTAGCTTGAACTTGCTGTGACAACACCTCCTTCTTGTCCTCTATAATCAGGTAATTCTCTTAAGTGTCACTAATCTCCACCAAACTACCACACTTTTAATCACACAGAAAGCTTATTATAGGCAGGAGGCTCTTTGAGCTTTTTACATGTATCAACTCATTTTATTTTTACAATAGCTTATGAGGTAATTTTTGCATGAAACGCACAGAGAAGGTAAATAATATACCATTAGCACATCTAGTAGGTGGTATTGCTGGAGCTGAGCCTCGGTATGGACCTCATTTCAAGGGCTGAAAGTAACCAGAGGCTGCACACTGGATATTGTAGTTCAGAGTCCCTGCTTTTAACCTTCTCTCTCTGAACTAAGACAGGGACCGATTTCCCCTCAGTTTCCCTATTGATTCCAATCAGCAAAGCTCTAGTGGATGGAGAGAAAACTGCTGTAAGAATTGGCAGACCAGAGAGGATGTCAGGCCACATCCACTCAAGCAATGGTTCTAAGTCTTAGTGTTTCATTTACAAGCTAGGGATAACAATGATGATAATGATGCCTAAATCACAGAACTGTTTGGAAACTTAACTCAACATAAATCCTACTTAGGCCTGGCACAAAAATAACTCTTCAATAAACATTACTGTCCACACTACTCTGTACTATTGATGGCTCATCACCATATACTACATACTAACTGCATTTCAAGAATATATAATATATACTAATTACTACATTATATAGTAATTATATTTCAAGAAAATGAATTATCTTAATTCACTTACAGGATGCTTATTCAGTTGTATGCTTGTATCAGAACATAAGCGTGAGGCAGAGAGAAAACACAGCATGCTGAGGGGAGTCTGACTTCACCTACATTCTATCAGTAAACTAACACAGTGGCTTCCAGGCATTTATTTCTTACCTGACTCCCCAGGCAAGAAGGGGGGCATTAGATATTTAGTAAATTGTCCAGAACACAAATGGGAACCCTTGTTCCAAGGACTCCAGAATTTCCACTTTAACATTATGTCTGCTTTGAGATGCAACAGGAGCTAGATTAAAGTAATTTTGCATCCTGTATTCAAATCGTATCTACTCTTTAAAACGTAAGTGAAGGCATTACAATAGTCACCAATGATAACTCCTAATAAATCACTATTTCCTATCCCAGCTACTCCAGGTAAGTCTGCCTCCTGGCCTGGCACCAAGGACTGAAAGCCAGCACTGGAGAGAATCAGGAGTTTTCAGGGATGGACAAGTGATCAGAACTCAAAACTGTCCTGAGATTTACTGTACTTATG